TATCGTCCTGAAAAAGAAAATTCTTCAATTATTAAGCCTGATCTTTACCTTTGTGATTCTGGTGGACAGTACCATACTGGCACAACAGATGTAACAAGAACTTTGTTCTTGTTCGGGATTGGAGAAGAAAGGCCAACAATTGAGCAAATTGAATCGTTTACTCGAGTATTGATAGGTTTTATTCGCTTACATAAGCTAGTATTCCCAATTGGGACAAATGCTACTGCAATTGACGTTCTTGCAAGAGCCAGCCTATGGGAGGCTGGTTTAGATTATTTACATGGTACCGGACATGGGGTTGGCTCGTTTTTATCTGTTCATGAAGAGCCCTGGTCAATTTGTTATAAGGTTGGAAGGGATGGTGCTTCTAAACAAAATCTAGCTGCAGGCGCAGTAGTTTCAATTGAACCTGGATACTATGAAGAAGGAAAATACGGTATAAGAATTGAAAACTTGGCTGAGATTATTGAAGTAGATATTGATAATGGCTACAGAAAGATGAATAAATTTCTCAAGTTCTCGCCTCTTACATTCGCACCCATTCAAAAAGAGATGATTGACATTTCAATTCTTTCAGATGATGAACTAGATTGGTTAAATTGGTATCATTCAAAAACCCTGGAGAACTTAGAGCCGTTGGTAGATGATGATCCCGAGTTTTTGAAATGGCTAGTTCAAGCATGTTCACCAATAAATAGATATATTTCAAAAATTGATTTTCCAAAAACATTATACCAGTAAAGAAATTTATTATTCATTCTCCAACTAGGATTCCTTCGTTTATTAATTTCTCTCTTAATGTTATCAATTCCTTATCAATGCTTACTTCGTCTCTATTTTGCTGGTCGTTAATATCAATATTAATCTCTTCAAAAGATGCAACTGTAGAATTATATGCACTTGAGCGCCTAGATTCTGATTTTTTATTGCAAGTTTTAATGCTACTGCATCTTTGTTCAAGCTCATCTATTTCATTAACAACTGAGGTTAGCCACTTTATGCCACTAAGAACTAGTTCTTCTTGTTGGTTTTCGCTTATTAGGTCGGTTTGCCTTGAGTTCATACGGTTTGTACACTTTATCTTAGCATGATCCTTTGTCCGATTATTAATTCTTTTCATTAAGAAAAGATCCTGTTTTAATTTCTGATTTTCCTTTTTTAATTTGTTATTTTCGCTTCTTAACGATATTAATTCGCTTCTGGATGAAATAATACCTATTTCTGAATGTTCTATTGTTGAACCATTCAAAAGGGGAAAACCCACCTGAATGGACGCATTTTTTTTAATAAAAGACCTTTTAAGTTTTTCATCTTGTTTAGAACCATTATCGAGGTTAACAACTATTTCTTCTGCAATCTCATACGCAAGTCTTGGAATAATTGATTGACATATTTCGAATGCAAGCAAAGACGCTTCATTATTGTTGAAATTCTTATCTTCCATAAAATCTTTTATTGCATCGTTTAATTCTTCTTCTATATTAGGCAAAACAGTTTCATCATTGATCTTTTTATAGTGAGTTTCAATTCTGCTAATTACAGATTTTGTTAGCTTCAAACCTTCATTTTCCTTCATTACTAAATGCATTTCTTTAAAAAGGGCGTTCTTCGCTTCAGTAAGAGAAAGAATTTCACCATCTGCAATTCTAAGTTGTTCAGTTTGAAATATTTCCAATTCGTTAAATTCTTTTGTAATCCTTTCTAATTCATTTTCAAGGAATAGTACCTTTTCTTTCAAACAATTGGCCCCTTCTAATTCCTTTTCATAATCTCTGACTTTTGACTCGATAGTTCTTACTTTATTCCTTAAAAAGTATAATTCTTCTTTATCTTCCTCCATAAATGACCTACTTTTTAGAAAAGGAAGTTGCGCATTAAGGGCCAAAGAGTTAAGCTTATATTTAGATAAAAGTAATTCATTATTTTTTAATAACGTATTTAAACGCGAAATTTCTTCTTTATAATTTTCATTTTCGATTAATAGACCATCTAATTCAGCATGAACTTCTTCTTGGTGTTTATTGGATGCTTCAAGTAAAGATTTGACTTCCAATTGTAATTCTTTATATGAAATTTCATTTTGATCTGTGGGTTTTAAGTTTTTTTGAATATTTTTTTTTTGCTCATTCAAATTAGTTTTAAATAGAGCAGGTTGATTATATTCAGTTTCAGTTTCCAAAACTGGTTCATTATTTTCATCATTATTTATTAGTTTTTTTTGAGATATAATTGATTTATTATATTTGCTAATAAGATTATTAGATTTTTGAATATTGTGAGTAACATGATTTTCATTATTTTTGCCAATTTCTGTTATTAAATATTCTTTATCTTTATTAAAATCTTCAATTAATTCTTCTGAATCTGAATAAAGTTGTAAATCACCTTCTTTGTAAATGTGTATATCTTCTTCTTTATCTGTTTCACCACCAGAATTTTCTTCAGAGTAGTTGAACTCACCAAATCTTGGAGAACAAAATTCCATACTATTTTCGTCGTAACTCTCATCTAAATTCTCAGAAAATTTTCCTTCAATATAGGGATCATATTCTTCAATTAACTCGTCTAAATCGCTCATATTAATGTTATTAATTAATTTATAAGTATATATTTTTCATTTGGTAAAAATCTTTTCAACAAAGTCCTAATTGACCTCTTTAAAAGACATGACATCTTATACAAATATTAATTGTTGATCTAAAAACAAATTTTAAAGGAAAAAAATTATAAATGGGTTTCTTTATCTATTATAAACTTTATTTACGTTAGGCAATGATAAATACTTCACAATTGTTATAATTCAATAAATTTTTTTTAATGCATTTAATAAGTTATACATAGTGTGGGGTAAAATAAAAACTTCGCGGAAATGGGCAAAATTTATTGCAATATTAATTAAACAATGAATAAAGGAGCTGCATTATTAGAATTATCTAGTGAATGGTTTTTGAATAGCTATAAAGGTTCAAATGGCGACTTAAAATATGCAAAATTGATTTGTAACCGAAATTCTATAACAGATTTAGCTAAAAATGTTGGGGAGGAACTTCATTATCAACATTTCATTAATACAGTTATTAAATTGGGAAGTAAAATAGTTGAATTTAATAATATTAATTCAATATTTTGCTATTCTGTTGACTTAGTTTATAGTTTGTTTTCATCATTACAGAATGAAGTATCGATGCATTCGATTAAGGTAGAGGCCATTAAAGATGAGTTTATTATGCTACAAAATAGCTTAAAGTCAATTAAACTTTTGCACGAAAAGATTCAAAATTTCATTGATAAAACAGTTGTTAGTTATGATTTAATAGATGAAATAAAGAATGCCGAGCTCAATAAGGATTATTATATTCCCTTGAAAAGTTTGTTAGACAAATTAAATACTATAAAAAACACGTACATTAGAAAAACAAAAATAGGAAGGGAACTTTATTTATTATATAGCTCATTGTTTAATATTGTTGTAAATAGAATGAAGTGCAATTTAAATTCGTTATTTTCTAATAAAGAATCTATGTTCATAATAATGGAAACAGGATATTCAAATTCGGCCACATTTTCTGAATTAATCAGATTGAGTAAAGTAATAAAGCAATTAACCTTGAATGCAAATGAAATTGATTTTTTTAGGGAAAGATATATTATGTTTGCATCAAGGCTGTTTTCACAAATTGTTAAAGAAATAGAAGGGCTTTGCCAGAATAAATACGAACAAGGTGTTATAATTACTTCCAAGGATTATGACAAATATCACTCAGTACTATTCGAAAGAGAACAAATTTTAAACAACTTTTATTTGTTGATCGGTGAGCCTGTAGAGGAATCATTTTTTTCAAAGCCAAAAAAGGTATTTAAAATAGAGGAAATTTTTTTTAAATCACAGAAGATGATATATAAGGCATTCATATCGATCTTCGAATTTACTAGGCAACTTTTTGATAGTGCATTAAAGGATATTCTACATCGAATTTTTGGTGATCATTTGATAAGGACTTTAGAATTATTTCAACTTTCAATATTGAAAACAAACGATACTATCGGGCTATCAATATTGTACAACATAATGCTCAAATTTAAGCGTCTTACTGAATCAAAGTTGAAAGTCTTTGTAAATGCTATAACAGATTCAAGTTCTTTGTTTGAATATTACGGCATGCAAAGTAAAGCAATTTACATTTCATTGGAGTCTTCAATTATTTTACAGATTTATTCATTGTCTTCTCTCTCAAACCGTGAATTTATCAAATTATGCATTTCAGACAAACGACCGCATCTAAATCCTATTACTCGCAGAGTTTCAGAATTATTAACGGTTTTAACAAAACTAATAGATGAACCAGATGGTCACAACGATCAAATAAAGAAACTAATTGACAGAGTTCAATCATCCCTAATCAATTGGTTGCTGTCATCAAATGAATTTTTGCAAAATGAAAATTACATTGGGCCTGAAGAAGGTTGTATATTTATAATTAACAATGCTGACGCAATAATTTCAGTGTTACGAGGAAAAAACGGAATTTCTTTAGATAATTTTCAGCATTTATTCCGTGAATACACACAAAAATATATTGAATATCGCTTGAATAATTCATATTCTGGAATAATGCAAGTTGTTGATTCAAAATTCTGCTTAAGGGAAGTTAATCTAGAATATATTAACAAAATACTCACAAGCTTTAATAACACTTGGAAAAAAAATATTGATATTGAATTGCAAGCTACATTAACGTCATTTTCAAACTTTCATACAAGCGAGGAGATATTAAGACTGCTTGGAACTACCGTTGCAATGAGGTATTCCAAGTTCATAAATGTAATAAAAAATGAGTACGAAATAAGCGGATTATTGGAAAAGAATAAGGTAGATATTGAGGTAATACTGGATTACATTCAGAGTTGTTTATACCCTACTAATACAAGAACTGACTTACTTACCTGAATTTCTTAGATTTTAACAATATTTTTATTTCTTTTGTTGGTTACACGTAGCAGCGGGCTTGGTCTAGGTGGTTATGACGCTTGCCTTACACGCAAGAGATCACGAGTTCGAGTCTCGTAGCCCGTATTTTACGGTTTTTTCTTTTTGCACGACTTCTAGTCTTTTCGAGTTCGACCTAAAAAAGAATCATATTAGTTTATAATAATATAATTTTCACAGGGATGAATAGGTTTTCGATTTAATATTTAGCAATCATTTAATCAAGATATCCTATTTTACGAAAGCATTCACTACTCTTGTCGGACAAATTTTTGAAATAATATTGATAAAATTCCTTCCAACTTTGGAATTAAAAAATAAATCGAAGCACTCTACTAATACTTTTAGTAAATATTGCTTTGGTTTTACAAAAGATTCTTCATTGGTTTTTGAGTTTTTGAATAGCGCTTCGCTCTATTGAAAGTTATTTTTTTTTTCAAATTAAATTGTGCAACTTACAATTTTTTTGCTTTTTGAAATGTATTGTTTTTGCTTTAACAGAGCATTATACCTAACTTTTTTGAACACAACATTGTTGGGCTCAACTTTCAAAGCTATATCCGCACATTCAACGCATTGTTTATATTCGCTCAATTCGAATAGCGCTATACATTTGTGGTGTAATGCTTTCAAATTATTCGATTCATATTCCAGAGCCTTATTTGCATAGTGTATAGCGTTTGGATAGTCTTGGAGCTTCAAGTACGCAATAGATAGATTAGAGTCCAATTGCATTTTCAAGACCTTAATTTCCTTGTCTTTGTCTGGCATTTCAGAATAAACATTTTTTGACAAAATATAACAACATGACCTGTATGCTCTAAGCCAATGCTCAATAGCTTTCTCATATTCTTTATTATTAAACTCCTTAAATTTTAATCATGAAAAAAAGTCGGGCATATTTCCAAAAACCTACCTCATTTCCTTTCTCTTTTGCCGTTGGAGTCAAATTATCATTGAGTTGAAAGTCAGATGTTTCGTCACAATTTACACTATGCCTAATTTTATCAATTTTTTCATCAATCATATTTGTCCCTGGAATATCAATTAACAAAATTTCATAAAATTCTTGGCATGAATTAAAAAAAAAGGCCAGTGCGCGATTAATACTCACAAGACGGCGCTAATGTCAAATTTCTGCACAAAAAAAAAAGCATGCACTTTGTTATTAAGGTATTAAAAAAAAAAATCAGCTCATATAGATCTCAGCTTTAAAGCGACTAATAGTGAATAATATAATAAATTAATACATTTTTAATTAGTAGAACTTAAGAAATTTTTATTACAAATTCACAAGATTTTTAGAAATTAGCATTTTTATATCCAGAAAAAAAATAAAAATTGCAGTATAGTCTTAAAGCGTAATGTCGTAATTCCTCATCTATTATTGCAGGTACCCAGATTGATACCTATTTATACATGCTTCAATGATATTGATTAACATACTATTTTAAAATTGTATTTACAGTGAATTATTTCAATAAAAAAAAAAAAAAATTATTGGACTGAGGTGTTTGCTTAATTATATTATTGAATTTATGTAGAGGAAATCTAGATAATTATTGGCAGTGGGATTTACTATATTTGTAAATCAATCAAATATATGCTTCCAATATTTCATATATAAACCACTGAGTGAAGAGGTTTTTCCAGCGAAATCGATGTGCAATTCTTACTCTGAATGGAATTCGTGCATAAATAACTTTGAAGATCCAGATGGTTTTGAAGATATATACAATCCTGGAGTAGGCTCAGTTTTTACCACAAATCAATTTCATGAGCTTACTTTACCTGCAAGAGCAACAATTGGAGATGAATATATTTGGGTTTCTCAAGAAGTAGAAGAAGATAGTGTTCATTCGAACCAAAGATTATTCGAAGGTTTAAATGCTACTCAAGTTTGTAATGAACTGGAATATTCAGAGGCTCCCAACTATTGGAATAATAATTTTAGAGAGTATTTAACTAATTTTCAAGCACCTAATCAGAACATATATTCAAATACAAACCAAACTTCATTAAATGCAGATGACACATTTTCTTTAAGCAATAATTGCGGTAGAGTATCATCTGATAACTCATCAGTCTCTCACACGTCTACCTTGCATGGTGTTTGGGTCGTTCCAAATAGAGATAGCGATACTAATTTAGTGACAAATAAAAGTAAATTCGATCATTCATCGGATGATGTTTCATCTTCTATTGAAACGAGCAATTCAGAAATACGCAGGAGGCTTCATTTTTCACGTCAAAAGTCAGATATAATGATCGATGGAACACGAATTAAAACCGATAACCATAAATATAAAAATAATGATGAGATTTCCATGTTAGTTGCTTCCGGAGGAGCTCCTTTAGGAAGGCTTGATGAAATTGGGGGAGTAGAGTGGTATCCAGAAAGACAATCTTGGAAAGTCGTTGGACACACTGGAATCTCTTGGTGCGTTAGAAGGAAAACATGGCGTGTTTGGTTTATTACATCGGGAGGAACAAGAGCGACCAGATCATTTAACCCCAAAGAACATGGAACAGTTGCCGCTGCGCTTAAAGTAGCAATTGAGTTTCTTGAGCACAAGCGCGCAGAGAAGTCGCCAGCTCAGAAAAATTTAAGAGGTAGAGCACGACGTTCGAATTTATATTCAAACAGTTTTGTTGATGGTTTTTCAAAATCGAATAATCTGTCATTAAATGAAAGTACTTATGAACATGCTAGCGATTTAATAAATTAACAATTATCTCAGATTAATATTTTCCGAGTAGCCCTCATGCAATGCTCTGAAAAGAGATGTTCCAAATGAGATCCCTAAATGGTTTATTAAATTTTCCAATGGCGTATTAATTATTTCTTTAATTGAGCGAAAGTTAGAGGTAAGAACTTTAATATTTTTGGCATTTATCCCAGGTAGATACCTTAGAAATGCAGTTGCATAATAATTGGATTTGGTTGAGTCTGAGGATACTTTTCTTTTTTTACCTTTAGATTTTTTTTCCTTTTCAATTGAAATATCATTTGCTTTAAGAATTCCAGTATTCAAAGTACTAGCATCTTTTAGATTAGGTTGCTCTCTATCTTTCTTGATGCGGAGAATAACTAATGAAGAAAATGACGAATTGCAACTCCAAATAAATTTAATATTAGGAAAATGCCTTGTTAGAAGAATTAATTTCAAATAAATGTCGCAAGAATTAAACTTCATTGGCAAAAAATTTTGTTGCATCCCTTGATGATTTAATATTTCTATCAAGCTATTTAATTCAATTAGTATTACAGGGGTGGAATAATGTTTTGAAATCCATTGCAATTGCGTGAATAGCCTTCCATTACTAAGTGAGTTGACTAAGTCAGGTAGTGACTTCCGTTCAATACATACATCGCGAGATATTACGTAATCTCCTATTTCTAAACTCATAGGAATTATTTTAACTCCTTTGCAAAAAAGCTGATATGGAAGAGATGACCTAAATTCTCGTATATCTACGATTATTTTTTGAATATCATTTTCTTCTTTATACCGATCTTGATAAATTGAGGAGTTGCTAAGCTTTGCTAATATTTCACCTTCAGTTATGTCACTTAACGGCACAACTAAAGTTTTTTTGTGCCTTTCAAGACCTATCCATGAGAGTTCTTCACTTTTTATTGCGTTAAGGAGCTTTTCCTATAGAAATATTATTAATTATAAAATATTTGAATATTGAAACTTACATGCCTAAGAGAATTCTGAATTGTAATCATAATTACCTGTATATACAATTTTATACTTTTCTCTGAAGTTGCAGTAAATAATTCGATTTCCCTGAGCAATGAAATGTCGGGATCCAACATTATAATTAGATGCGGTGAATGTAATGAGAGTATATTCCAGAATTTCCCTAATAATTAATTAGATTTTAGAAGAAAAACGATTGTTTTCTTACCTTGCACATTAACACTCGGATGACTAATGATTATTTTTGGATTAATTCTGTCGTTTTTGATTATTTGGTTCAAATCATTATTTTCAGATACACTCAAATTTGGGATAGAATTAATTATTAAATCATTAGAAGAGTATGAGTAATTTAGATTACTATTATTTTTAATTAGTTTTGATAATACGTCTCTAAGCTGATTAAAAGAATGAAGTTTTTCATTAGAATTAGTACAGGTTGTAGCCCCAAAAGAAGATATTATTTTCGTAATTATATTCGACACTCCAGACGCTAAATCAAATTCGATATTTTGTAAAGTTTCAATTAATTTCATAGCAGAAAAATTTTGTGGGCCATTTAGTACCAAAAATTCGACTTCAGCAATTGTAAGGTAGAATTCATCAGGAATAATAAGTAGAACTCTATATTCTGGAACTTTATGCACAAAGTTATTATTCAATATATTCGAACATATTTCCACATATTTTTCATTTATTTGCGAGTATTCGTTTTGATCCAGGCCATATTCGATACCATCCGTTTCTACAAAAATGGTTTCATCACAAGTTTTTGTTTCAGCATTTTTTCCCAAAGAATTTAAGTTAGAGTTCAATTCAATTTGATTTTTTTTGACTGAAAGCCTAACATATAAATCATTTTCTTGTAATAAAGTAGAAATATCATCATCAGTGAGTTCTTTACCAATATTTGAGATAATATCAATTAATTGAATATATACGGGATTAACCTCAAGAGAAAGAGTAAAAGGAGTTTCAGATCCACTGCTATTATTATTAGCTTCATTGTTGATTCTAAATATTCTTGATCTTGATACTTTATATAAAGTTTCAAATTCTGTAGTTAACATCCAAGAAGTATCAATAAGTTTTGATGATCGAATGCATTCTAAACAAAAAAAGAATTCAGATGCATCTGATAAATATAGCAATTCAAGCAAATTTCTTAAAGATATAATATCCTTTGTAATTTGTTTGTGTTTAGACGTCATTTTATACCACAAATCTTGCGTTAATGACTCAATTTTATTTTTTAATTTTTTTGATGAGTTATATAGCAAGTCATACATGGTTAATTCAATGTTTGGATTAAATTTCAAAATTTCGTGTAGCCCTTTTTCCAATAATATTTTAATGCACTTTTGTATAACATAAAAGTATTCAGTTGCCTTTACTGACTTTTCTATTACTTTTATTTTCTGAGTAAGTTTAAACGATTCTTCAACAATAGTATTATTTCTTGGGTATAAAAATAAATCAGTTGCCCCTAAATATCTCATGGTAATTCCGGGCCCAAAATATCCCTGATTTAGAATTTCTGGGCGTTGTGAAATTCCTTTAATGAACCCATTTGGATTTTTGCTTTTAAATAATTGTAGAATAAACGCATCATTCCAATTTCTAACATTTAAGCTCTCTGCATTAAATAATATAATACCATCTATATGTGAAAAATCGAGCTTTTCTGATAATAGATCGGTTAATAGGATTCTTGAAGTGATAATATATATCCCACCATTACTATAAAATGCCTTTCTTTTGTTTAAATTCATTTCTGAATTAATAGCCACAAGTTTACTAGAAAGAAGAGAACCATTTCTCGTAAATTTATCTTTATTTTTATCATGTTGCTTTTGATCCATATTTTGCACAAACAGCTTAAAAGAATCAACCTCAGGTACTGATAAGTTTAAAATAAAAATAGAATTCCCTGAATTGATTTCTGTGTTAGTCAAGTAGTTGTAGATGATATTAAAAATACCAAGGCCTTTACTTAGGATGATTAGGCAAGACTTGTGATTATTAATATCATTTAGTATTGATTTTTGAAAAGGTAATAGCTGCATTTTTCCCCATTAAAAATATATTCAAGAGATATGAATAAATATAATATCTGTGGTTTAACATAGTACAATTTTTAATAGTATACTTATTAAACAATGGCAATAAGTTACAAAATAAAATTCTAATTCAAATACGAATTTTACCAAAAATCAGCCCACGCAGGGGATTGAACCCTGGATATTTCGCTTACGAAGCGAACGCATTACCACTATGCTACGGAGGCTAACTAGGTGTGCACTGGGAATTAAAAGCTAATTAATGAAAGCAAAAATTAATATTCAGTAGATTTTATGTACATAACTATCAGATTTTATCTAATAAAATATTTTTTTTTTTTAGGCAGCGGTACTAATGTTAAGTGCCGATCTACAGAAATAACTTGTTGGCTACAAAAAAGTTTAATACAAATTAAATTATTCAAAATGGATACTTCAATATTCGAATAACTTTAATTTGCAGCCGTCACACAGTGAGTTTCTCCTGTAGCTCAGCTCGGTTAGAGCGTCGGTCTTATGAGCCGAAGGTCGCGAGTTCGATCCTCGCCGGGAGAATTTTTTTCATAGTCTTTGCAAGAAAATAAAAAAAATTGACATTAATTCCTTAATGAATAAACGAGCGATGAGACTATAGCAATTGGCAAGAATAGATATTGGTTTCAATAAGAAAAAGCGTTCTCAGTTGTTTTCTTCACTCTCAACTTCGTCTTTGTCCTCGGTTCCTAGTAATTCTGGTTGCCCTTCTTCCTCTTCTTCCTCTTCTTCTTCTTCTTCTCCTTCTACTTCTTCTGCTTCTTCCTCTTCTTCAGCCTCTTCAAGTTGCTTCTTTCTGAGGTTCTCTTTTACTTCACGCAGATGGTCAAATGAATTAATATCGGGTAAAATATTGTTAAAAATACTTTGGCAATCTGAAATAAGTACTGTGATACATTCGACACATGGTGGAATGGATTGAAACATCGTAATGTTTTTCATACTATTAGGTCTACAAAATGCAGGGGATAAAATTTCAGCAATTTTATGTGCTGTCATATTATTAATGCTCGACTTTGTTGAAACAAAATGTAGGAAATCAACTAAGAATTTTATTACCAATTTTGAACTATCTGGTAACTTTGAAATAGTCTCCTTAAGGAAATTAATATAGAAGCTGTGGGCTAATTCATGGGTGCCTGAGCTTTTACATTGCCTTACAATTGAATGAAATGTTTCCGAACCCAGTAAAGGCTCATCCAAAGAGTTGAGTATCAATTTAAATGCAGACACTAGGGTAGATGGATCTGAATCAGCAGATCTGAATGGAACTCCACTATCAACTTCTCCAATTATTGAAGTAAGTTTGTCGGCAGATGTTTGTAAGCTAAACAAATTTGGGATTATAACAATGTCAGGTTTAGATAGCTTTTGGACGAAATCAACAATGACGGCTGGTATTTTACCGTATCCTGGAACATTATAACCATTACAAATACATTGCTCCAATAAGCTCATCGATAATAATGCCGGAGCCTCTAATCCTAGAAGTTCTGCATCATCGTGCTTAACAATAAAAGGTAGTCTATTTAGTAACTCTTCTTCTGAAATGTCAGGAATAAAGCGATATAATTCTCTTATTGAATCTGCATACTCGAGCTTTCTCATAAACCTCGGAGACATGTAAGAACTTGTAATCGTTAATAATGCACGATTACTTACACCATAATGAAACATTATCACTTTTTTTAGATTTTTTTTATATTCTGTAGGCAATAGAGAATAAAATTGCTGTAGAAAGTTTGAGCTGCCATCACTTAGAATATTTGTTCTAGTTAAACATTGAATGATAATAAATTCGGTTCTCACAAATTCTTTAGTGTAATGAACTGCATATCTCATTGCCTTATCAAGTTCATCTACTGTGGGAGGAAGAAAACAAGATACCAACATTATTACTGGCCTTTGAAGCACATCATCTCCTAAATAAAAAATAAACCTCGTTTCTTCATAGCTTAATATGGATTTTTAGGAAGTTAATTTTACTTGTTTAAGCGACGTTTATAGTATATTTTTGTTTACTTACCTATTAAATACTTTATCCTGAGTTGCTTCTATTATTGCTTCGTAATAGCTGGGATCGACTTCAGCATCCGAGTCCATGTAATATCCTGTATTACGTAGAAGCATAATAATTGGTTACTAATATATGAGAATGTTTGCTTTATTTTTGCCGAATGATTTTTTATTCCAAATAATTGCATTACTTATTAGATATTAACATGTTTCTACATTCCCGTCATGTCTTGGCAATATTGTTTCGACTAAATGTATTCAAATGGCCCGTGATAATAATGCCAAGAAAACTATTTATATTTTGCACATAACAATTCGTTTTCAATGTTATTGGTAGATTTAGTTCAATATCTTTTTATAAATGACTTATTTTCAGGCGGTATTACAAATCATTTCGACTGGGCTTAGTATGATATATAAATGAATTAGTACGCTTATATTGCATTTCGTATGTTACGATCTTTACCTGAATATGATTTTTAATTCTTTCAAAATTTGGAAGGAAGAGAGAAAAAGTACAATAGGATTTTTTCATCCTCAGTGTGGTAACTTTGGTGGGGGCGAAAAGGTATTATGGTGTATTATATATGAAGTTCTAAATGCCAATATAAAAAACAAGGTTGTGATATATTCTACTTGTAAACTTGATAAGACTGAACTTGTCAAGAAAGTTGAGAGTTTATTTAGAATCCCTTTAAACCGTCCCGAGTTTGTTTACAGGATTAAAATCGTCGAATTAAAGTTAGGGTTTCTTTTACAACTTGCATTTTTTAGACTCTGGAGTGTGAACTTAGCAGCTTTAATTGTTTCTCTGGAGGGTTTATTATTTAGCTGGCCATTTCCGGAAGTTTTTGTAGAAACAGCAGGATTCCCGTTTGCACTAATACCAGCAAGAGTTCTCCCAACAACTAAACATATTTCAACATATATTCATTATCCTCAAGTTAGAAAAGAAAATATTGAAAGTGAAAAGGAAAGGAATATTCTAAGATATTTTTATTTAAAACTATTCTTGTTTGTTTATAAACTTAGTATTGGTCTTGCAAACAAGGTTGTTGTAAATTCAAATTGGACGTTTAATAAGCTTAATGAGCTTTGGGAGAAAAATTCTATTGAAATGAGTGTTTGCTACCCACCTATAAATATAGATCATTCACTAAATAAATTAGTAGATCCAAAACTAAGAAAAAATGTGATTATTTCACTTTCACAATTTAGGGTTGAAAAAAATCACTTTGTACAAATACGAATTTTCTCTGGGGTGCTTAAAAGGATCAAGGAAATTATTAATAGAGCGAGCAAAGAAGAGAAAATTAGGCTTGAAAAAATATATGAAGAAATAAGGTTTAAAATGTGTGGAACTTCACAGAATTCAAATCCTAAATACAATGATTATCTAAATTCCCTTAAACAAATGATAGTAGATGAGAAGCTTGAAGAGAAGTTAGAGCTAGTTATTGATTCAAGCTCAACAGAGTTGCAGAATATTATGAGAACATCAAGGTTTGCAATCCACACAATGGAAGATGAACATTTTGGTATCTGCGTTGCAGAATTCGTCTGCTCCGGCTTGTTAACGTTCGCACACAAGTCAGGAGGGCCTGAGAAAGACATCCTAACGAGATTCGATGGACAAGATGTCGGGTTCTTGGCATCGAACATCCAGGAGTTTGTGGAAAAACTTGCACATGCAATCATTTACTATGAAGACCCAGCTATTCAAGGCATTTTAAACAATGCACTTAAGTCAGTATTTGAAAGGTATCAGGATAATATCTCGTTCGGAAAGACATGTTGGAGAGCTCTAAATATATAACTTAAAATATAGAAAAGCAAGATGTCGTAGACATCGCTCTATTATTAGTCGTTTAGAATACTATAAAAAAATTAATTAAATGATAGCAATTCATATGATAACATCGGTATCAAACACTGCGCAATTTGTTGCTGTTTACCATGCATCATCGTGATCAAAGTCTCTGTTGGAAACTTTAGAGTGCGAAGCATTATTCCCGTTCCCAGCTACCCCATTGTAAGAGTGGTTCACTGGACCCTTTCTGTTTCTCCATTGCTCGTTATTAGAACCTTGGTTTCCAGAACTTGAGTTATTACCAGAATAGCCATAGCTAGAATTAACAGAGCTACAATTACTTCCTCCCTGATTACTTCTAATATCTACACTTCCAAAACTGTGTAACCCTCTATTTCCTCTTTGAGAACTAGATACCCCGCCCTTGTTGAATCTGTTACCATACCTTCCGAACGAGGCTGTGCATGACTTAACCATGTCTTGGAACCATTCAGGGGCATCCTGACCACTTTCTTCTAATGCTGCAAGTAAGTCTCTTAATATAGGCTTATTACTTTCATTGACAAAAGACGTGGCTAAGCCCGTGTTTCCGGCTCTGCCAGTTCTACCTATTCTGTGCACATAGTCATCTATGTTGCAGGGCATGTCCAAATTAATTACGTGCGTAATATTAGGGATGTCAAGCCCACGAGCAGCAACATCAGTAGCCACTAGGATCGGTCTTTGACCGCTCCTAAAAAGCCTTAGTGCATGCTCACGTTCCTGTTGCGATCTATCCCCGTGAATAGAGACAGCAGGGAAGTTTTGATCAATAAGGAAGTCTTCTATTTGATCTGCTCTGCGCTTCATTTCAACAAAAACGACGGTTAGACCCTCACCCTGCTCTAATAGAAGTTTAACTAGTAAACGGGGTTTGTGGTCTTCCTCAGCATATACAACACGTTGAACAATAGAACCGCTAGTTGCGCCAACCCTTCCAACAGTCAAAAAAATGTAGTTGTGTAAGAAGTCCTTTGCAAGTTGTTGTATTTCGCGTGGGAAAGTGGCACTGAACATAACAGTCTGTCTACCATCAAGACTATGAGGCATTTCAGAATCCTCTACAATTTCCCGTATTTGAGGAGCAAAACCCATATCAAGCATTCTGTCAGCTTCGTCTAGAATCAAAAATTTGATTAATTTGAGATTAACTTTTCCCCTATCAATTAAATCTCTAAGTCTTCCCGGAGTCGCTACTATAATATCTGAACCCCTGTCTAAGTCCATTATTTGACTTCTAACTTCGCTTCCACCATATAATACATTAGTTCGAATTCCAGTTCCAAAGCAGAACTTCCTAGATTCCTCATAAGTTTGAATAGCAAGTTCACGTGTCGGAGATAGAACAAGAGCAACTGGGTATGCCATTCTCTTTATTCTAAGAGAAGATTGTTGAGGGGTTGGAGGGGGGCCGTCGTTTAGCATTTTCATTACTATTGGAAATAGAAATGCCGCTGTTTTGCCAGATCCAGTCTGAGCGCATGCCATTAAGTCTCTCCCGTTTAAAACAGTCGGTATGGAGAACTTCTGAACTGGAGTAGGTCTTTCATATTTAACTCTTCTAATGTTATCTAATAATATTTCGTGTATTCCTTCAAGCTCCATGAAACTTTGCATTGGCTTGATTTTGTTTGTATCAGAGCCTGTCATTTCCACT